TGGATGAGGGCGAACAAATTGAAATTGAATCCAGACAAGACAGAGGTACTCCTGGTCAGTCGCAAGGCCAAACAGGGTATAGGGTTACAGCCTGTGCTGGATGGGGTCGCACTCCCCTTGAAGGCGCAGGTTCGCAGCTTGGGTGTGATCCTGGATTCATCGCTGAGCCTGGAGCCCCAGGTCTCGGCGGTGACCAGGGAAGCATTTGCACAGCTTAGGCTAAAGTCTGACTTGGGAAGTCTGACTTGGCCACGGTAGTCCACGCTCTGGTTACATCCCGTTTAGACTACTGCAACGCTCTCTACGTGGGGTTGCCTTTGAAGACGGCTCGGAAGCTCCAACTGGTCCAACGTGCGGCAGCCATGATACTAACAGGAGCGGGACGCAGGGAGCATACAACCCCCCTGCTGTACCAGCTCCACTGGCTGCCGATCTGCTACCGGGCTCAATTCAAGGTGCTGGCATTGGCCTATAAAGCCCTAAACGGTTCCGGCCCAAGATACCTAACTGACTGCCTCTCGGCCTATGAGCCCACGAGGACTTTGAGATCTTCCGGGGAGGCCCTGCTCTCGATCCCGCCTGCGTCACAGGCACGGCTGGCGGGGACGAGAGATAGGGCCTTCTCGGTGGTGGCTCCTCGGCTGTGGAACACCCTTCCCGTAGACATCAGGCTAGCCCCCTCCCTGTTGATATTCCGCAGGAAGTTAAAGACCTGGTTGTTTGAGAAGGCATTTGAATAGTAGTGCAATGACGGGTAACTCGACCATAGGAATGGAACAACGGAAATGGTATTGGATTGTGAACTTGACGATGAGACGACTCGGAATGGCTTGTAGTTATATTGATGTTTTTGATGAGATGTTTTTGATAATGATGTACTGTGGATTATTTTGTTGTATGTTGTATTTTGCACCTGTTTTTCTATGTTGCACACCGCAATGAGTCGCCATTGGGCTGAGAATTGCGGTATATAAGCGAAGTAATAAATAAAATAAATAAAAATTTAAACAGAGGCTGGATGGCCATCTGTCAGGGGTGATTTGAATGCAATATTCCTGCTTCTTGGCAAGGGGTTGGACTGGATGGCCCATGAGGTCTCTTCCAACTCTTTGATTCTATGATTCTATGAAGTTGGATGGCCATCTGTTAGGAGTGCTTTGAACGTGATTTTCCTTCTTCTTGGCAGAATGGGGTTGGACTGGATTGCCCATAAAATTCTATGATTCCATGATCAATTTCAGGGGACAGGAAGGAAACTGCTGTGTAAAACCTTGACCCTGGAAGAGTTGGTTCAACTTCCAACTTTGCAAAACAGATCCGTTAGCCGTCTCTTTTGTCCGCCAAGGCCTTTGATCCCACAGACTCCCTGTTGTTTCTGAGGATGCCGAGCATGGGAATACCTTGGCCTAGCCTTTATCTTTGCTTCCTGTCACTTGCTGCTACCTTGTCATAGCAACCAAGGGGCTGTTTGTCCAGGTTGCTAGGGTTTCTTTGTCGTATAAAGCTTGGCCTGCGTAGCCAAAGGCCGGCACAGGGGCCAGTAAAACGTGGTTCGGATCCCACTGGCTCCGGATTCTTTTTCACCTGGCCCAAAGCGAGAAACTACAAGAGTCGAGCCAAGTGTGACCCACGGTAGTGTTGGCAGGTGTTCAAAAAAGCAGTAAGGGATGGTTGAAGTTCAGGAAATGTTAGGGTTGACAAAAATCAGGAAGTAGCTACTGATTTAACACGTTTGTGTTGTATGGAAATGAAAATACTGGTTGGGTTCCAGTTAAGTTAGCCACACCTCTGTAGAGTTAACGTATTGTCCATTTCTATAAATTGTAGGGTGCGCTTGCGTCTTTTCGAAGGGTTCACACCCCAATATACAAGTTGTTTTCTAATCTAATTCAGTTTAAACAAAAAGAATATAATAAGAGACAGCTCCTATAAGGGACAAGCTTCCTAGCCCTCAAAGAAAGGGCATTCCTTATGATAAAAA